CTCGATTTTTACTCGGTATTTGGTCAGTATTGCTATGTATTGTTTGATAATAACAAGGAATACCACTCTGGGAAGATCAATACCGAGTATTACCAAAAAATACCGAGTTTTTTCTAGGAAAAACTCGGTATTTTTTGGTATTACTCAGTATTGCTTGGTATTACTCGGTATTTTATCTTCACATAATGATATTTCTCGTTATTATTGGTATTGCTCGGTATTTCTCGTTTTGTGCCTGTGATCTTAGTGCCAGCCGAACGTAGCTCTACGTACGTTCACCGGACCAAATAAAAGTTCAAACTTGTGAGAGGAAAGAGGTTTTGCTTTAGTTGGGATAGCTTTTTAATTATTTGTCTTTTAAAGTCTGTTTTTGGGACTTTTTTTATTAATTCTTAAAATAATTTTTTTTTACAAATATTTATTGAACTAAAAATTTTAGTACTAAAAGGATACTTCATAAAACAGTAAAAAAGCCATCTCAAACAAATCATAAATCTTAATAATAATTTTTATTTGGCCATAGCTTTTTCACCATTTTCAATAATTTTTTGTGCTATGAAGGTACTTTCTATAACAAATTTTAAAATATTTATATTCTCCACAACAGCTTTTTTATAATCACCTTCACAAAAAGTTACGGTTGTCCGAAATGAACTCTTTACTTGATGTGTTGAAGCTAAAAGTTAATGTTTTATTAAATATCTCCTTTGGTTAGGTATAATTAGCAGTATTATTGATTTTAAAATTTCACATATTATGATTTAATTACTTAGAGTCATTTTAAATTTAAAAAATTTGATGTTAATTTAAAGCTATTTTCTATTTATAAGCAACAAAAAGATACTAAAAGGAAATCAATATCTATACAAGTCCTTCTCTAAACCCATATAAAAAAATAATAAATAAATAACTTTACTTTTTTGGTGAATTTAAACCTCCATCCTCTCCCCTTAATGTAAGCTTATTCTGAGCAGATCATTTAAATCTAGACATTTTTTATGATGATGATCTTTTTTTGTTATTTTATGAGTTCATCGTGTTTGCTCACAGTGATAATTCAACATAAAAAAGTACAATTTTTTCTCAGTAAATGATATCAAAGCCTAATTTCAAATACAATGATCATTAAGTGTATGGTAAAGAACTTTATAGCTCGAAGAGTTTAGGTTTCGTTTGGCACAATTTTTTTACTGTTTTCTAATTAAAACAATTTTTTAGTTAACATTTTAGGTTATATGTAACTTGTCATATCATTATAGGCATCATCATTCTCTCTCTCTCTCTCTCTCTCTCTCTCTCTCTCTCTCTCTCTCTCTCTCTCTCGGAGAGCTTAGCTTGCATTAAAAATAACACAATTAACAAACCTTTTAAATTCTTCAAAATAATGATACTTTGCATTGGAATCACAATGAAGTAAAAACCCACTTAGAATCTATAAAATCACCTCACAATTACTTCACTTATTCTTCCTCTTCTCAATGCATGAAAGTCCAACAAAAGTGTTGGCAGACACGTTGAATACAAATTTATCCGTGGGATACTAGAATCTTACTATCAATAATAATGGATATAAAAGCAAATAGAAAATATAATAGAAAAGAGTACTAAGAGGGATAAGCTATGAGATTTCACAAGATTATCATTAAGTGCACAATTTATACAATTAAATTAATGTATTCGACACATCTTTAAGAATCTATTTATAAGCACAGTTTGAGATATTCTCTTATGAGATAGACTGTTTTTAAATAATACATGTAAAATTAAATTGTAAGGCTTAACAATTGCTTTCTATAAAGTAAAAAAAAAAAGAGATAGCATGTAGCTTTCTTATTAAATAGACAACATATAATGATCCTAAAGAGTCTTGGGGTGGATGGAGAAAGTTCAATTCTAGTGTTAAATGCACATTATGGTACCTACAGGCATGTTATGGTGCCTATGGGTAGAAGTCTCAAAATAGGTTTTGGGGTTTGGTTTGAGTCCGATCCTCAATTAATCCAACCAAAACCCGACATGATTATATAAATGGGTTCAATATTAAAACCCAGAACCAACCAACCCTAAATCCAGGCCAACCCAACCCTACACGTTAACCTAATTTAGTGAGGCAAGCTCTACGTCATGTACGCGTACATCAGGCAGGCTGCGAGTGTGAGGCATGTGGGCGAGGCAAGGCGAGGCCATGCGAGCGTGAGTGGCAAGCTAAAGGGAAAGGTGAGTTGCGAGAGGTTGGGATACGACCAAGCAAAAATGCGAACGCGAGCGAGCGGGTGTGTCCTTGCATGATTATTGTTATTTTAAAGTTAAAATTTGAGTATTTATTTGAGATTTTTTATTTGTGATTTTAAAAATATAACAATTTT